GCCCATCGTCTAAGACTGTTGCATTTCCTCGCATTGAAGCTCATTAGTTTCATGAGCACTCCAGTAACTCTGTGAATGGCCCCAGAGACTATTTTGTGCATTATATCCAAACTGCTTCATGCAAACGGATTGCATTTCAATCATATCTAGTGCATGTTGCCTTTTAAAACGTGCTTCTCTCGTAGTAGTTAGTTCTGAAAAATCGAAAGCGTAGTACCTGCATCACTCAAGGGAATCTAAGTTGATACTTGTCAAATTATATAGCATGATGATTAGCCAGAAATAGGAGGAGATCAATCATGTCATAGGTAAAGGTCATTTAGTTTGTTTTATCTCGTCTTTACATCATCTTTCATGGTGCTGCTTGGTCTGTCATTCATTTGATGCCATCTAGGAACTGGTGTGAATTTTTTTCAATAAATTGCAACGCTATAAATGTCAAATTTATGCATGGTTTCTAATCGATTTCACGTTTTATCGAAGAAATTTTTAGCTAGGACAGTGTAAAGATAGCTCTGACCACATTCTTATCGAAGAGATTTGGAAAAAAAGAGACTTATCGGGACATTGAATTGCTTCAGAAAAAAAGCACTAAAAATGTTTGTTGTACTTTTTTAATGGATATTGAAACGCATAACATTGGTGTAAATACCGACGAGCAGTGTCAACAACATGTTTCTGAACGCATTTCTCTTTCAGCTGTCAAAGTGATTACGCTCAGAGCTGCAGCAGCTGTACTATTAAGTTCTATAGATGGAATGAATTGTAGGCGTGAATTCAGTGCACATATTCTCAACCATAGGTGATAATGAGAAAAATTGATTTCAAACTGTGGCCGCTGATGCATGATTCGTCAAAGATGAGAAGCTGTGTACTTTTTGCAGAGTGTACTTGAGGCTAATATTCTTAGATCTCAAGATGACATCATGAGCAAAGATAGATACTCAACTTGCCATTCAACTGAAAACATATCAAACTGCTTATAAGTCATCGATCATTTTCTAAGGCTTTCATCTGTCTATATTAAAGCGTCTTATATGGTTGAGTAGTTTTTAAGCTTTCATGTTTCGTTCGCATGGTTTGCGATCCGCCGCTGAGTTGCGGGTGATTCCGCTTGTGAGCTCTTCCAATCCTCGATAGTTTTTCCCAACTGCAATACTTAGGAACGAACTTGTGCTTAGAAAATGAACATTCTGAATGTTTCTTATTGTATAAACTTTCCAAAGCAACTTCTAATCTCATCTTCAGTGCAGCATTACTTATAATCGAGTTTAACATAATGTAATCTGTTACAATATGTAATCTCCATTTCGGTTTATTATTTCTTTCGTTTAATGTAAACAGATGACAATCATTAGGCTGATGAGAGCAGTGTCTTCATAGACTGCTTTTTTTCTCCTTGTTTCGCTTACCGTTTCATGAAATATTAGCGAAAGGCAAGTACATTTAAAAAAAAACTAGAAGATCGCATCAAACCCAAATGAATGACGCACAAAATGCATAATAATCAGCGAAATGAACGCTTCAGTTATTTTGTTACGTTTCAGTATCCATCCCAGTTCAGTATTGTGAACTTGTTGTCAATAATTCACGAATGTTGCTGAACTCATATCGTTCACTATTCTTTCTGTGCCTTTCAAGGCGTCAAGCGTACGAAACTGCGATTCAACGGCCGCAACAATCATTGAATAAGATCGATCATTTCACCAAGACACTATAAGCGCCAGCCACTGACCGCGATTCGTTTCACCTTGAAGCACAATGATTTTAGAAGTTGTGGCACGTCGCTTCTGTTGTACAGAAGCTGCACTTTATAATATGCGTGCAGCAAGATGAGTGCTCTCATGCAGTTCTCAAAATTTCATCCATAGCGATCAATCATGTCAGTAGCTAAAGTCACTGTTGGAAAGGAACGGAGTTTGCATGGAGAGATAATGAACATCCGAAATGAAGTATTCGGATCACGTCGTAGAACTGATGAGAATGGGGTAAATTCCTAGAACGTTCCTAAGACTATTGGAAATTCGATTACAGTTGATACCCCAATGGATTTGTTCTACTGTTGCTGTGTGAAAAAATAAATGAATATGGAGCGTGCTTCATTGCCGTTTTAGATAAGTGCTCTCATGCAGTTCTCAAATTTTTACGAATCGCTTTTAACCACTGCAAACGCATTCACCGTAACGTCGTTTGAACAAAAATTCATCGAGACATTATTAATAAGTTGCAATTCCTAGGAACTCCTTGGAATGAACGTATGCCGATGATCCGTGCACCGTAACGGCTTTATATGATCTATGTGGTGTTGATAATGATCAGTGACTACTTAGAAATAACATCTGTCATTTCATTTCGAGAATAACATCATTCTCGAGAATCATATACTTCGTTATAAGAATTTTGTTCAGCATTGTTACCCATACTGGAGTGAATTAGTTTTTGTAAAATGTTGATGACAGATATAGCATCATATGGAGCGGACATAAATCAACCACAATGTAATTGCGACTAGCTTGGATGACGGAAATCTCAACGGTTCTCTTCTAATGTTATTTTTTATGGCTATGAGCTGCTCTAACCAATAAGTTATTACAATGAGTATCATTAAAAATCGTTTCTGTATGAATGCATTTTAGATGAGAGTGAATGCAACGTTAGCAGAATGCATCACGTTTATACCCTTGTGCAGTGGGCGAACTTTTGACGAAAATTGGGCCGATGTAACATTTATTGACAAGCGATGCGTTCGTTCATTCAGCCAAATCGGGATTAAATTAGAGTTTTGTTCTGTCAGATGAACAGGGGATTTCAAAATGCTATTATACCAACAATTTAGTAGTGCTTCAACGCTAGTTATCGCAGAAAGAGTGGTCGTATTGAACAGGGAATTCACGAGCAATGATTACTGCCTGGCTGGGGTTATTTTTGTTCCTTATCACCGACCACATTCTCAGCTTTCACTACGGGAAGTATTCGGATTTGCCCTGCTAGAATTTGATAGACATCACTTTTTCCTTCAGTCATTTACAATGACCGTCTGATTATTGCATGCTTTACGCTCCTTCCATCACCAACATTTACTCGTTCTTCGGTATTGTATTGAATATTTAAAGCGCTCGTTTTGATTCCCATTGTGAATTTTGAGATTAATCACTCCTCAGCGAATCCTCTTCAGCACTGATATGTACACTCAAAGTTTCAGATATCGTTTATCCCGAGTGTTGCCTGAAATTATCGTGCAGTAAGGGATCCGTTCCGTTGACAAACGCTAGCATTTGTTCCTGACGGCGAATCATATTCCCCGTTTGCTCAAGACAATATCTTCCTCGCCTTTTTTCAGTCTGAAAATAATTTATATTCATTGTATTGTTCAGCTCACTTTTCTTGCAACTTGGCCGATCAAATGTATATAAATCTCTTTCACACCTATCAATAATTCATTCAGTAACAAAAAATGTACAAATTGAAAGGTGGTTCTATGCTGAGCCTAGAATTTGGCGGGTCTGTTGTGCTAGAAGTGCTGAATGCTTGCTTTAATGTTGCTGTTTCATCGTAACAAACATCTCGGGCAATTTGCAAAAATATCAAATCGCAAAATCCCGGACAGATCATTGCAAAGTGTTCGATATGCTAACTGAAAATTGAAACCTCAACTACCAGTGCACTTTGTATCGTTTCACGACGAAAAAATCGGCACTATTGTTCAATCAAGCGATCGCGATAGGTATGAAGAGCCGTTGAAATGCATCAAAAAACTCGAATTACGTAGATGCAATCTGCCCCATGAATGTGGAACTCTTGGAGTGTTTGCGCAATCAGTGATATAATGTGATAATTTGTTTCGTTCATTCAACTGTGAATTTGATCAGATTCATTTGAGTATGCATAAAATAGCGTTCGCGATTCGTTAGTGATTAAAAAGTGCAGCGGTATTTCCAACATTAGACGCATTCAGCTCGCAATAGTGTAACATGTTTTTATGATGTATGCAAAACAGGAAACTGAGTCCACGAAACTTATCGCAGTGTAGGAGATTCGGGTGCCCATGAAACCTTGGATGAGCTCGAAAAGCTTGATCCTTATCCTTGGGGAACTCCGAGTCCCGAGGTCTTCCACTCAATGCTATCCTGATAGATACGTTTGTCACGAATTTAGCAACAGAAACCTTCTTTAACTAGCTTGAATTGTGCTGAAATCGCTATTAAATTCTTGTAGTTGCGAACTTCCCAGATTTGCTTATCTATCATTCGCTTTCCAACATCAGATGTTGGTAGTTCACTCACCAATTGCTTCTGTCCATTATTTGCCGCAAAAAAATCGAACGTCATCATTAATTGCTTTTGTGTGACAACTGATAATTAGGCAATGTTCGTGATGGATTATTGTGCTTAATGATGTTGGATCAAATAAAGTGCCCTACGCTTTTCCTTCACATGATTCTGCAAGCATTTCCGTGCATGACCAATAAGTTGGCAATGCTGAACCAGTAACATTCGGACTCATTGAAACCAGCATGTTGCTCAATTTTTGTTCGCAGAACACCATTCACGGTTACTTCAGAATTGCATCCACGACCATCGTAGGCATGTGAAACCCGAAACCCGCCCAAAACATTCCTATTCCGGGTGACAAAGGGTGCGATGAAATTTTGCCGTGAATCGTTCATCCTCTGTTGATGTAATGCATTAAGCAGTGTGCCTGAGATTAAATCCATTTGAATGCATAATCCGCCTATATTTGGAACGATTAAATGGATCATAGTGTCATGGCATCATATCATTTCAGATTATATGGACCATGAAAAATATTTCAATCGCTATGTATACAACTGCTAAAAATTCAACGCTACATTCTCAGCTGCTCTATTCACATGAATATCTCTGCTACTGTTGAATGAGTTCGGCACTCCTCAAGCGTGGAGCCGTGTGACAAGCATTGGACGACTCTAGCAAATCACCAAGTATTTTATCATAACTCAAAGACGCGCTCCTGCAACGCAGATGGAAGTTCATGAGACAGACAACTCCAGCTCAAACTTAAACCCAATAGCAGAAGCATCGCTAGTTGGACCATCGGATGACTTTTTGCATTTGGCATTACCGTCTCCACCCCAACGACAAATCCACTTTTATGGGTTGTGTTTAATTGTGATACCAACAGTTACAATTCTCGGCAATTTGCTTGTGATCGTTTCAATACTCAGATTCAAGACGTTGCATTCTGCAATCAACTTCCTCATTCTTGGACTTGCAGTCGCCGATTTATTGGTGGCACTGTTCGTTATGCCATATGCAGTTTATATCTACGTGAGTCCTTATGAACACCACTGATTACTTCTTCACGTGATATTGTTGAAATGAACTGAGTTAACAGCAATGGAAGTTCAGTCGTTTGCAGGAAAATTGAACTGTGTTGTAATGCAGCATTATCCGCATTCTAATTTCAAGGCATCACCGCATCATTTAAAAAGGGGATGGAAACACCACTTTCATTCGATTCACTTATTACTGAATTTCAATCCTGATGATCGTTACCGATGTTAAAATCAAATCCTATCATGCAGCTTGCTCGTCATGTGGAATATATATCGACGAGAACATTGTTTTAATGTATTGTTCAGGTGGAAGGTGGCTATTGGTTTCTTGGACCTCTGATGTGCGATATCTATTCAGCGAGTGATGTGGCGTGCAGTACAGCATCTATTTTGCTTCTCTCGGTCATCAGTTTCGATAGGTGAGCAACATCCCAACTTCAACATCTGATAGTTGTTGAGAGTACTTATTTAGAGTTCCGAGATTACAATCAAGGCAAATAACATTGTATCCCCATCGAGAAATTAGACGATGCTGATGAGTTCAGCAAGGATCAGATAGCTATCGGTTTCGGCGTTATTTTGAAAAACGTTGTGCATAGCCAACAGTCCGAAAACATTCATAATAGATAAGTCGTCGACCTTATTCAATTTCTTCGGGCATTGTGAGCAATGAATAAGTGTTCTAAATTGTGCAGATACAGAGCCGTATCACGTCCAATACAATATTCACGTCAATCACAAAATGTTCAACGGGTTGTCTATATTTTGATCGCTATTTGGCTTATCTCGCTTATCCTTGCATGCCCAATTGTGCTTGGTCAGTTAAATTTTTTCAGTTTTCATTACACTTTTGCATTTATTGCTCAATTGAACCTTTTGCGTTGTTCTAAGACAGTCGCTACAAAATCAGTTCATAAGAGCCATGAACCACTTACATAACATTGAATCTACGCGTAACATTCGTAGACTTGATGATAACTCGTCTGAACCATATTACCTCGAGCACTTCATGAGTCTTTTTTCACTACTGAATCTGACTGATGCTACTGTCCTCATATTTAATGGAATGCCTAGAAACTGATCCACTCTGTAATCGGAAAGTGGAACTTGATACTTCCAGAAATGTTCAAACTGTTCACAGCTGCATCCAGAATCTGTGCATATCTGTTTAAAGTGCACATTTTTTTCAGGTGCCAATAATCGGCCTTCGGACGCCGACCCATATGAATGTCGTTTATATAACCCTGATTTTACAATAGGATCATCGATTATCAGTTTTGTTATTCCTTGTTTCATCATTCTGTTCGTTTACGTGAGGTGAGTTTACGTGAACCACTTAATTAGTTATTTTAATCAGGGATTTTCATTGCATTGAGTAGATTTGAAATGGTTTCGAGAGGAATGCGTTTCTGGTAGGTGACGTCGAAGTGTATTTGCAGAAAGATCTGCTAAACATTAGTTGACTTGCAGGATTATTGTTGCGTTGCGAGCTCGAGAGAAAGCTGCTAAGCTCCGTCGCCTATCGCACCAAAACGCCAAAATTAAGCAAGGGTACGGCATTGTTCTCAATGAAAACACATTTATATTCTCCTAATTCCTCAACTTCGTCCATGCAAATCACTCTTATTTCCGAACATTCTCATGATGGCAATCAAATGCATAGATCACATAGCTGCTTCGCGCTATCATCTTGATGGTATTTAGTCACATCGAATGTCAATTGCTTACGTGCATATTGTTTCAGTTCAATGAAACGATTCAATGAAGGTGGTGAAAACACTGATGAAGCCGCCACGATAGTCGCTGGACCAGGCAAGTCTTATTTGAAATTGGTTGAGAGATTGTGCGATTTGCGATTCCGATGACGACTCCCTTTAGAAGTAATCAAACTTGTGAAGCGGCTACAGCTATTCAGGAATTGAGATAGCCTTGCAGCTGATTGCTCTGGAGAGAGATCTTTTACTGCAAAATAACAGTTTGCTGCTGAATGAGAAATTCATAACTTATCATTCCGGAATTCGAGTTCAATTTTGATCACTTCCAAAGTGCTCGGCGATGCACTATTGAGTGGGTAACGTCCACTGGATCGTATGTTAGTTCCTGTTGAGTGTCATTCAACTTGAGTTTAGTCAACAAGATGAAGAAATTATTCCACCGACGATGTTCCACTTTCAGTGCCTGCGTGCAGTGTTCTTTCCTCTATGCTTTTTTTT